CTTCGTTCATATCATGCTTTTTTTTTTGCGGGGTATTCGATAGTTGCTCCTACTATTAGAAAATGCGCTAACTTGTGAAATTATAGCAGATTTTCTTGTTTAAACCAATGGGATGGATGGATTATACAATACACAATTAGCACGTTCTTGCATTCCTTTGCCGTTTGCTTCCCTAGTTCTTACTCGGGCCATTACTTAATGTCAAAAAGGCTTATATAACGTTTTTATGGTGAAAAATGGCTTATGTTTTGTATATTGCGCGTTGTAGATTACACTGGAAGTTAAGCATTTTTTTCCAGTGTAATCTACAACGCGCAAGTCACAACCAGCAACACAACCAAGAACTACATCGGACTGACAGAAGGAACATTCAAACAAAGATTCTCGCAGCACAAATCTACATTTAAACACAGAAAACACATCAACAGCACCGAACTTTCTAAGTACATCTGGCAACTTAAGGACAAAAAAACAAGACTTCAACATCAAATGGACAATTATCAGCCGTGCAAGACCCTACAACAACAWATCCAAACGATGCGACCTCTGCCTTACAGAAAAACTTATGATAATCAAACATATTGTCGTTACTGTGTTTAATTATCATAAGTTTTTCTGTAAGGCAGAGGTTTTGAGTACTAAACAAAAGATCAGAACTTATCTCTAAATGCAGACACGAAAACAAATTCTACCTGAAGAACACTTGACACCTCTACAGCCTATTGTATTCACACGTATTCACACCGTACGCAGTTTTAATTAATAGTATACTCTCCTTTGTAATTTTTACCTCACACCTATTGTTTCTAGCATAACTATCACGTATTGTATGTAAATAGCCTAGCACTTAGCCTTTTGTTCTATAACCATTTATATATATTTTGACGTCCTACAATATGAAACATTTATATATATCTAGATTATAGGAATGTTTATCATTAAATACTGTCTGATGAGTGCGTAGCACGAAACTCGGAGTTACAGCAAAATCTTGTCTCTTTGATATCATATATATAACTAGCTCTACACTTTATGTGTATTGAGCACTCTTTAATGGGATCAGCCACTCCCTCATACGATTATAATGAATTTCAATTATTTTAAACTTTAAGTGTTAGTTCAAATCAAATATTACACCAGTTGACAATCGATGGCCTTTTAATTCAATATATCATTTCTAGACTTAGAATCACTATAAGTTAAGGATGACGAAACATGTTTTGTCTTACCTCAAGTCGGTCGTTTTATTATCTAAAATGTTAACGTTATTTTAACCATGTGTGTTCTTACCGAACGCAAACACTGTCTGTAGTAAATGGCCTCCTCTGCAAGAGATATTAGTAACCTACATGTCTATGATGTCCTTTTTTGAGGTTTTGTTGGTTAAGTGTAATACATATTATTTTCGTACCTAGAACCTTTCCCGACGGAAAATTAGCTCTAGTTGGAAAAGAATTATGTTTGGATTTGATTGGCTCAAAAAGTTACATTCGCCATCAGTATGCATTTACATACGAGCCAGTGATTGGCTGGTTTCGTCTCCAATCAGAGACCTCGATTTTCCGTAGGGTAACTGACAAACATCTGATGAACACTTATCTTGTCTCACACGTGACTCCATTTTATCACTTACTGCTCTTTGAGTATCC